CCATTCTATGATTCTATGATTCTATGTAGCATGCTATTCAGGTTGTGCTGGACTGTGCCAGTATTTGTAACCTTGCTGCTGAAGGCTGGCGCAAGCATTCCCTGACAATCTGGAAGTATTAATATCCCCAGATGAGATTCTGTCATTTCCAAATGCATCTCCAGCAACTTGGAAGACACAAGGGTACTGTGGGTCAAATGCCGATTAGCTGCAGTGTTTGTTGTGGTTTAAATAGGGCAGAGATGCAGAAATTCCAAGCAGAGATCAAGAGTTTGAGGCGTGCAGTTCCAGGATGGAAATTACACACTAAGCATGCACACTGATAGTTCCCATAAACAGCACATCAGTTGCACGCTCCATCGAAAAAGCTCTACGTACAGAAGTATGGCTCCACGTGTACTCGTAGCCATCCACATTCATCACAGGCATGACGTAGAAATCAAAGTGCTCCAGAAGTGTTGTCATGATCTGATCCCTCTCACGCATGTGAGTTGCCTATAAAGCACAGGGGAAACTTATTAAAAGCATTCGTATTAGAGCTTTTCTTACCTTCCTAGAAAGGCACCTGGTGGCATACGTAAAGTAATTGTGCAATTATCAGACCAGTCTACCTCCTGATAGAGATGCATCACATCAGAGAAATTGCTAAATAGCAAAGTAGCTCTTTGGTTAGAAGTGCAGGAGAGAGGGTAGGAATCAAACTGATACAGTCAATCAGATACACTGCAGTCCTTTAATGCTAATGAGTGGTCATGAGATAGAGTTGAAACCTGTTAATAGGAAGATTAGAGCTTTTGCTGCGTGTATAAATGATAAGAACCCTCCCTTGCACACAAAACACTGCAAAAGTAGCATAAAATTAAGCAAGCTCAAATATAACAAGTAACATTTCAAATGGCTGCTGTACATAACATTATTTCTTCTGGTTGCATTGTGAGTGCAATGCACTTCTATGCCAAAAGTCAGTAAGATCTACATTGCTAATTTTGCCTCACAGCGTGTTTTGAAGGCTTTAGTGATACCTAACCGAGTTGTGTGTCCACAACACATAGATAAATTTTAACCTAGATAAGTGGTTTTGTTAATATTAGAATAGATTAAGACCTTAATGATATCTTTTTTTTTTTTCTTTATGTCTTACTTAAACCACTTTCTTTCATTTTAAATCCTTTCTAGTTTTCCTCAGGCAATGGACTTTCTCTGACTAAATGAGAAATGTCAATCATTCTGCAATCTTAACAACAAAATTAAATGATACAGAGTGGACCCATTATAAAGAATGCTTAGGATTTGCTAGAGAGAGCTAGTGATTTTAGTGTGTTTGTGCAGATGTGTATTAATGTCAGATTTTAAAATGTTACCTCATGAAGTGATATAGAAATAAAATTTGAATTTAAAACACATAAATTAGAACAAGGAGATGGAGAACCTAAATGTTCAACTTGTTACTTCTGAAAAATGCTGCAGGGACATGTCACTGGCAAAGTGACAGCACAGCTGGTAATTATTTGGGGCAGCATGAAAAGGGCAAATGCATTTCTCTCAAGGGAACCTTGAAGACTGAGATGATCTGTGGGTCACAAGGTACATTCAGCTATATTTGTCCCTAACTCCTGCAATCTCCTTTCAACTGCTACAGTCATTAATGTTTTATAGTTGTGACTGAGAACAGAAATAAGTACATTTATTATTCTTATTATTATTATCATCATCATCATAATTTAGTTCCATCATGGCCATTCATGTTTCAAGGACTCATCTATGTTGTTTCTCTGGCCACAGTACTGGTGATTGTGAAGTCTCAATCTCATCTAGCTTGTTTGTACTGTGAACTTTGCTTTTGTGAAAAAATAACAATAAATAATACTTCCGGACACCAACTGAGGAAGCTGGTCAACCTCGTCTGGGCCAAAAAGGCCTTAGGAGCCTTTTCCTGGTCTGTACTAGGAATTGGGCCAGCAGCTCAGCATGATGAGTTGAGCAGAGATGCCTTAAATTCAAAAAGACCAAAGCAACGTATGTTAAGGTCCAGGTGCAAACCATAGATGTTGTGGGTGTGGGTCTCTTCTCCCAAGTAACAAGCGATAGGACAAGAGGAAATGGCCTCAAGTTGCACCAGGGGAGGTTTAGATTGGATATTAGGAAAAATTTCTTCACCTAAAGGGTTATCAAGCATTGGAAAAGGCTGCCTAGGGTGGTGGTTGAGTCGCCATCCCTGGAAGTAATTAAAAGACCTGTAGATATGGTGCTTAAGGACATGGTTTAGTGGCAGACTTGGCAGTGCTAGGTTAATGGTTGAACTCAATGATCTTCAAGGTCTCTTCCAACCTAAACAATTCTATTATTCTATGATTCTATGTTGTATCTTTTGGCATACCTTTGTTCGCTATCCTCAGCAGTGTAGATATTATTAAAGATCAAATGTGACTATCGGTCTGTGGCTGCACACCAGCGCTGGTCAGGATAAGCCCAACTACAGTCTCATCCCATCAGTGATACACTAGTTTCCATGAACTGGTACTATGCGCATGGCTGGCAGTTGTTGATCATGTTCTGGTGATCTGAAATGAGGGTGTCTCTAGCAGGGATGGTACCTTCAGAAGAAGGCGGCTTGTGTGGCCTCATTTCCTGATTGAGGCAGATCCAGAAGAAAGCAGGAGCACAAATAGAAAATGCAGAGACAGGAGGTGGAGGATCAGTAGCAGCAGGCACAGCAGCAGGTGACACATCACAGCAAGCGCTAAGTACAGGTTGCTGGTGTGGAGCTATGCCATGCCTGGAGCAGGCAAGCGTGGGGTACCTATTGCTCTAGGAAGACACATAGGGAAGAACCAAGGGTTTTAGGACAGCTTGAGCTCACTCTGGATGTCCTCTGATCTACTCCTGGCAGTGACAGCTGGAGTAAGATGGGCATGAGCCACCATGTGCTCCGTGACTCAGAGCCAAGATCGTTCCTTGGATGCATGTGGCAGTATAGACATAGACCTAGTAAATTACCAAATACTTGCTTCTTCTGGCATGCCCCCTCCATCTTTGACCATTCATAATTGTACACATCTCTGATGAATTTGCTGCACGTACTTTGAAGTTTCTTTCATACTTGAGAATACATCTGAGCTCTTTTGCATTCAACCTATATGACTTTCTGTCTCTCTCACACACACTCCCGTTCATCTACTGACACACACGTACATGCACACACACTCACTGCTACATATGCAGCTTAGGTTGGTGTTGTCGAAGTAAATGGATTAAGACTTTATGGAGCTTAGAGCGCAATTGGACAAAGAAGGTAAATGGCATCAAATTTTTTTTGCTTTGCTTTGAAAACGGTAATCAGATGTGATTATCTACTCACATAGCCTATGAACCACAGGCAAAAAGCAGGAGAAATCCATTCTCTAGCGTGGATACCGCAGTCAATCCATATGGCACTTTTGGATTTTTCCTGGCCCTTAGAAAGCTGACAAAAGATAAATTGTATTAAAATGTCACCATGGTAAAGTGTACCACATAAAAGTGGAAGTGAAAAGGATAACCAAGATGTAAGAAGAAGCATCTGTCTTGTAGGGAGAGCTTAGACCGATCCTGGTCTAAGCAACATGGTGTAGTGGAGGGTGTCCCTGCTCATGGCAGGGGGTTGGAACTAAATGATCTTTGATGTCCCTTCCAACCCAAACCATTCTATGATTCTGTGATTCTATCCTGGGCCAGGATTCTGCTCTCAGTTACGTTCACATACAATCAGAGTGCCGAATTCAGTCTGCTTGCAGCAAGCCTCTGACATGTACCAGGGTGCACCAGGACTGCAGCAAGACCTGAAGTCAAGAGAGCAGATCCCCAACTATGCAGGGCAACAAACTAGATTGGCTTCATACCCAACAGAGGAGGGTATCCACCATGCCAGTACTTCATGCCTTTGGATGATGGCCTAGATGTGATTTGCGACCCAGCAAGGAATCGAGAGTGGTCAAATGCCTTTGCAAAGGTAATGCACCTTACTAGAAGAACTTAGGAAACTTCTAAAGGACACAAAAATATACATATAAGTGTAGATTTAAGGAAGTGTTTTGGCCAAACCTCAGCACTTGCTTAAATTAGTACTTGGAAAGATTTTGCAGTAAGTCACAGTTGTACCTTCAGAACATAAAGTGGTCGTTTCTCATATGATGATCCAATATATATTTTCTGGAGGAGGTCAGAATGGACTTTCACTATTTCTTCCATCCAGTGATATATCTGCAAGGATGAAATTAGTAAATAGATCTTCTCCTTATTTTTTTCTAGACTTGTCTAGATTTAATTCTTCTTCCTTAAATCCTGACTCTTCAACTGATGGGAAAGAAAAACTAGCAATTCAGACCACTCACCAGCTGCCTGACTCTAATTTATCTTAAAACAAACAGTAAAATACAGTCACAACACAGTCCAAGTATAGCCCTGAAATTCCTCTTTACTTCTATTTGGTTAAATTATTGTTAATTTAATGTTTTAAATATTTGCATGTTGTTTGCAATTTCAGTTCACTTTTTTGTTGGCTGCATTTGAATGGCAGTTTGAGGCAATACATGTATGAGAGATTTTGACTGGTGCTTCGTTCTTTCTCTATGGGTAAATACTATTTTCAGTGGTTGAGCAATACAGTGGAAATTATTTATCTGTCGATGATTTCTTTTCCTGTCTCCTTTCTCAAATTTTCACCCCTTGAATCTATAGAGAATGGCAACAAAAATGTCTTACTTCTTTCATCGAATGGTAGTTTTCATAATATGATGAAGATCTGCGTGGGTTGACTGTATCATTGATAGTCTGTTTTTCAATAAGTCCTTGAACATCTCCTATCAAGACTCTGAAAAACAAAGAGCATAATCTTTTGTTAAATAAATGACAAACAACTTTACAGAAACATTTGTGACAACAAATGAAAAATACATACTTGTGTTGGATGGTCAGTTGCCTTAACTGAGCTTTTATGCCATTTATGCTGGATGCCCCGACATAGAAATGGACTTCTCTGGCCTTCTGGATGTTTTCAACCACAATAGGTTGCCAGAGAATGACCTGCAAAGTTTCCAAAAACATTTTAATTTTTTACTGAGGAAAGAAAAAATATTCTTACTAAACATTTAATAAGTATTTTGAAAATAATCAAAGCATATGTTTTCAATTTAAGAGACCACTTGTAACAAGCAGCTTAATGTTCCCTGTGTTGTGTTATAGCGTTCTGCTACTGCCAGAATTGAAACGTGTGCATTTAAGAGATGTTTATAATGACTTCTGCACATAAATTCATAAATCAAGTACAAAGACAGGAACATAACCTTTTCTGAGATAGTATTTCTAGTATAATAGATATGTTTAGCCTGTTATTATGTTACATGTTTTCAAGTCTGCTGAGAGTTATTTTCCCTGAGGGTGTTTGGAGAATTAATGAAGATCAGACCAGTTTTTCTAGTTATTGTATTTGCTGATTACTTTGATCAGGGAGGAAATAAATGCCAGAAGGGGTTTGAATATAAGTCAAGTTGAAGCAGCAACACAGAGATTAGAAATGGAAGGAAAATAAGAAAATGGAATTCTTCTTGGTAAAATTGAATCTTTTACAATAATAAAATCAGAAGCCAACATATTCCATAAAAGACTGAAATTTTAGAAGCAATAGTACAAAAAGATCTAGAAGTGACAGTAAGAAGAAAATTAGGCCTGGTTTTACAATGTGAAAAATGTCGACATAGTCCTTGGATGCATTTTTGAAGAGATACAGCATGGAGTCGGCAGACAATAGGGTTTATTTTTTCCTTTCTGGTGTGGTTGCATCAGGAATATTATATTCAACTTAGGGCATCATGTTTCCAGGCATGTATCAGCTGTCAATTGTTTACCTCACCCATTTCTCAGAGAGAACGTGCCTGAAAATTCATACAGAAAACTCATCCATGCTTTTAATCAAGACTTTGAAACAATAAATGGTAAAACATTTGGCCCCTGGATATATTACTGCAATGTGCTATACAAATGGCTGAGCTAGTCTCAGTGTAGCCATCTCAGACATTATCAGCAGGGTAGCAACAGCATCACACGGCTCAGCATTGTTTGGAAAACCCACCCAAGAAGCAAGCTGGATGCTTGGCTCCACAGCACTGATTTCCCTGTTGCCCTGGCTAACCTGCTGTCTGCACTGGCGTGCACTGGTTCAGATTTAGTTTCTCTTTGGTGTAGGCATTCTTTGAATTGAGAATAAAGAAATCTAAAGAACTCTGGATTGACACAGCTGAGGTGGCAGAGGAGGAGTGAATGGAGGTGAACGGGAAACCTTGATAATGCATATGATTATTGGTCTCTTTACCCATCATCAGCAATGGTCAATACTGCCCCAGGGGCAGCTACAAAAGACTCTGTTGTAGGTGTTCCCGCACCTGGGTCTTCTGATGAATGCTACATGCGATGTATGTGCTCTAAGAACAAAGCATTTCCTTTGTTTAGGTTTTCGCTTTCCAACTTTTGCAGGAGTAGCACCTATAATTCTTCTTGTAAGATGCTAATTTTAATTTTCTTCTATTTTGCTAGATTGTAACCATTAAAATTCATTGGGAGCTACTGTTTGTGTCTTCCTTTTCCTTTTCCTTTTCCTTTTCCGTTTCCGTTTCCGTTTCCTTTTTTCCTTTTTTCCTTTCCCTTTCCCTTTCCCTTTCCCTTTCCCTTTCCCTTTCTCTTTCCTTTTTCCTTTCCCTTTCCTTCTCCCATTCTCTTTCC